CTACCTTCGTTGGGGCTTAAAAGAAGCGTTTCTCGACAATTTTTGGATGAACATTGCCGTCTACGTGGTCCCCTTTTTTGAGATTTACGTCTACTTCGTGGCAAGAAACCATCTCCTGCTTATCATGGTTTTATGTCTCGCTATTACAAACACGGCGCATGGATGGAACACGAGAACAGCGCATCTTTTGGAGTCAAGTTAGCAAATAAATATTATTATCAGAGGGTGGATATGTATTAATTTGAACTTTTTTATTTGATGACATCAGACGCTCAAACTTTATGGATGGGTTCCCTTGCTCGCATAGATGACTAAAATTTCAAAATATTTTTCCGTATATTTTTCGGAAATATAAATATTTATAAATAGTTCCGGTATTATTTGAAAAATTCGTAAATTTTGCACACATTTTTCACAAATATAGATTTGTAAAATAATTTGAACTTTCTTATTTGATAACGTCAGACTTTGTTTGTATGTTGCCTACCTGGCGTCAAAAAAATTTCGAAATATTTTCACATGCCGTTACATTTTCAGACTCAAAAATACAAATTTTTCGAAAATCCCTTTTATGGTTTGCTTCGTAAATATTTCGGAAACATTTTGACGTTTTTCTTTTAAATATATAAATTAACTACATACTTCAGCGATTTTTCGTAAATACATAGCCGCCCTCTGAACATTATTGTCAAATGTTGTTACATAGCTTAACGTATTCTCGTTTAACATGCAGTTGCACCAAAAAATGAGGAATCAGTGAAGCAGTTTGGAATGCCCTTGTCGTACAAAACGTTGCAAAAACAGCATCTCAAGATAACAAAACTTATCGAAGGAATCTCCAATTGTTCCACTCCCGTTCTTTTCTCCTATTTCGCTACCCGGGTAATTTTTTATCGGTTTTCAATTATGCAAATAAAATTATTTTCAAGTCTGATTACTTTATTTTTAAGGTGCTCTGTATTAGCTGTGAAATGTTTCGAGCGTCAACTGCTTTCCTTTTTGACCTTACTTTGAAGCACGTCAACGGCTCGGAAACTATTTCTGGAAATTCTGGCGTACATGTGAAAGTATGTATGAGCCAAATTTAACGTGGAACTCGGCGCCTACACGCCAAAATCGTCAAATTCAGCACATTTCTCTGGGAATTTGGGTTAAAATTCGTAAAATTTGTCGTCCAGAATTTTATTAAAATAAGTTCCCAGAGCGGAGAAATTACAAATGTGCTGATTTTGGCGATGTGTCGTCGAACCCTAAGTTATTGTAAAAACGCGTCAAGTTTGCAGCTCTGACGTCACTGTGCTCGTATCCTTACCATGTGAGCCAACACCGTAGGATAGGAGCACAGTGACGTCAGAGCTGCAAACTTGACGCGTTTTTACAATACATAGGTTTCCGCTCGTATAAAAATTTACATTTTTTATATCCGAATGAACAGTATGATCCCACGGAATTGGAGTCAATCGTGGAAATCTTTTATTTCCTAAGTACCACTTTGATAAGTTTGTTTGTCGTGATATCAACAATTTCCGCGGTGGGCGTGACTGTAAGGATTTTACTAAACAATTACATTTTTAGCAAGGAATAAGTAAAAATGTGATTTAAAATATCTCTTTATTTATATCTCGAGGTCATGCATGGGTTTAAACCTGTCCGAAGATATGGACTTTTACTCGCTGATTCGCTAAAAGGTCGCAAATTTGTAAGTTACGAAATAACAAATATTTACGAGTAGATATGCAAATGATGACTGTGCTTATCATCGACTAATTACAGATTATGAGTCTGTACATGAGCTTTAACACCAAGAGGCCGCACATTGTGAACCCTGGTTCGTGGTTCCTCGTAAATAAGAATCTCTTCCTCAGCGTAAGTAATGCATAAATTGTCCAGTACAAATTTTATGGGTTTATTTTGCAAAATCATATGATCATTTCTTCACAGATTGTGGGGACTGCGCTGCTCTTATTTTCGATCATGATTCAATGGAACGTCGTCAACCTAGTCGAGACCCAAATCGTCTTAGCCTGTCCGCACGACAGGACTAAACTCTGCGTCAAATCGTCAATTTTAAAGCAAGGAAAAAAATATTTATAGAAATCATCAAGTTATATAATTTCAATTTATGTAAATATATAATTTCATAAAATTTTCCAAAATTTTCCAGCTCAAAAACTAAAGACGTTAAGAAATATATCGACGAAAATGCGGGGGCCACATTTGAAATACCGCCGTCAATACGGACGACACGACCCACGTCAAAGGCTACTGGACTCACATCCGTTACGATAAGCACTGATAACCCCGGCATTATCACGACTAAAACCCCCACAACTATCAAAACCACCCCCACCACGACTACAAAACCCCCAAAGCCTTGCTCCAAAGGAACCGAAATTGTCGAACCGACCGCATCGCTACAAGAGAAGACTAAACTCTGCGGAATTAACTGCCCCTTATCGAGAGCTTTTCGGATGGTGCCATTCTCCGAAGGCGGCAAGGCGCTTATCTCAACTATGAAATTCGGTTGGACAAAGACCAACGAAATTGTCGAGTGTTTGGCGAATCCGTACGGAAATTTTGAAAAAGGTGACCCTGTCCATGATTGCTTCGGAAATTGCTACAGTGAGCGGGATGATTTAGGCCGGTTTGCATTTTCTTTAAGCGGAAAGGGAAATTTGAGCAAGGTAATAAAATAATAGATAAGACTGGATAAGGCTCGGATTTTTTAAGTATTTCTCTCTCCTCTGGGAATTTATTTTTAAATTCTGAACGACAAATTTGTAGGGAAGGGAGTTTCCAATTTAAAAAAAAACATCTATGTACTCCAGATTTTGACAGGTCTTTAAGGAGGAGATCTATGTAAAGTTTAAGAAACCTTCAGAAAAATGCGAGAATTTAACATAAAATTCGATGATTCATAGTCAAAATCAGAACATTTTTAATCATTTCTCCCCTCGGAATTTATTTTAAAATTCTGAACGACAAATTTATAGTCAGTGAGTTGATTAATGGAATGTTTTTAAGCCAGTTTCGACAAGTTCCAATTTTTCTTAAACTTAAGATCTCCTCCTTCAAACAATGTCAAAATATGGAGTGTACATTCTTAAAAAATTGGCAACTCCATGCTCTACAAATTAGTCGTCCAGAATTTTAAAATAAATTCTCAGAGCCGACAAATGATTAAAAATGTGTTAATCTTGACGATGTGTCATCGAACCCTACGTCAAGATTCTCAGATGATTTTTGCCGAAATTTACCGATTTTTCATTTTCTAGCTACAACTCAACGCCGGCGAATTCTCCTACAAATTTGAATGCTTCTCAGAAAATGTTGACAGCCCGTACTTCAACCCTTTAGAAGTCTGTGGAATCCCGTATGCCTACACGCACATGTTGTACGACTATTACAATTCAAACCACAATCCGCCCTTTGCAAAGGCCACGTTGATCAAGATGATGAAAGCGTTCCCGAATAATCACGTGTTTGACGTCAGCCAGCCGAAATGCGACAAAAAAGACGTCTCCCTCACCAACTCGACGGAACATCCCCATTTGGCCATCAAAGTCGAGGTTTCGCAAAGCCAAGCGGTTTGGCGCCTCGTGCCTTACAGCTTTGTCTACGGTGGGGTCGGGCTTCAAATACCGGTATTTAATTTAATTATATGCTCTCAAACGATAACCTCACTGAACGAAACGAGTTTTTCTCAATAAGGTTACTCAAAAATCCTACCTGTTCACATTCATTCATTTGATTGGTTATGATTATGATAGTGAATGAAAATGAAATTCCTGTCATTTGAATGAAAATGGCTGAATGATTCCGTCATTTCGGATGAATGACTGTGAATGAAAGGATTTTTCACTCTTTTCATTTTTCACCCTATTCTTAATACATGGTGCGAAATAAGAAATGAAGTTGGATGAAATGAAGTGAAATGAAATGAATTTTAAAGAAAATGATTGAATGCGAATGAAAATCTTCAGTCTGAAATCGAAATGACTGAGTTTGAATTATGAAAACTGACTTTTTGAACAGGTATGATTGTAAGCTGATCCCGTAAAATTTTACGATCGACTTAAAATTCAAAATTTGAGGGATTACAAAAAAAGCCCTAAAATTTTGAATTTTAAATCGATCCCAGAATTTTACTTTGGCATCAGCTTACCATCGAATTTTTGAGTAACCCTATTAAGAAAAATTCGTTCAGGGATGTTACACTTTGCGAGCATACGATTAAACAACGTGCTTCCAATCCAGTTTTGGTGGGGAGGTCAAATTTGGAACAAGGCTTCGCAAAGTTTCCAAGAGGAGACCCCACCTCAGCGAGGTGACCGCCATTTCGCATTCCCGTATTTCTACATGGACGCGCTCTTCACGTCGAAAAAGTTTCCGAACGGGACCATCGACAAGTCGGCCATATCCAGTTTTGGAATGCACGACTGCTTCGGAAACCAGCTGGATGAGTTCGACGACTGCGGCGCGCTTCCGTTTTGGATTTTTGATCGCGATGGGATTTTGAAGAAACCGAGAAAAACTTATTTCGGCCGGTACAGGTGTTGGGAATCTCCGATTCCTGATTATTCTTGCGGTGCACCGGAAGACAAGCCGGAATTAATTTTTAAATTGTGTGCCACGTGGTCAGAGTATTTATCTAAACCGCGTTAATATCTGTTAATATGTATAATTGTCGCCCAGAATTTAAAAATAAATTCCCAGAGGGGAGAAATCATTAAAAATGTGTGGATTTTGATAATTTAGGGGATAAGTCGTACATTAATTAAGTTTATTTCAGTTCGCATATTTCTTGCACTTTCTCCCAGTTTCGTGCATCTCGCATTTCTTGCGTTGCTTATTGCTTTCTATTGTAAGAAAAGTAGCAAATTTTACTGTAACAATGAATATAATTAAATGTCGTTTAATCATTCTCAGAATAAATATACCTATATAAATTTGCATATGTTTATTAAATTATATAGTTACATTACATATATGTACATATATTAACGACGTCTAGACACGAAAATTCTCCAAGTTTCACAAACATGCTCAATTAATTTGTCCTCCTTTGACGGGACGCCGCAAGTATACCCAGGAATCCAGGACTCCCAACACGTGTACTTGCCTTTGCCCGCAGCCACGCTAACTTTCTCCGGCTTCCGCAAAACTCGGTGATCAAAGAGCCAAAACGGAAGCCCACCGCAGTCGTCGAATTGATCCAATGGGTTACCTGCGAAAGTGTAAAGGGGACATTGAAGCACTTTATTTGTCAAATTTGGATAAGCCAGTCGTGACTTCACAATTCCAAAATAGCCCAACCCAAGACCGGTGCAATGTTTCGGGTTTCGGGTCGAAGGAAGTACAAGAAATAACGAGGAAAATGTGGTTTCTTTTGACCTGCAAGAAATGCACGGCACGAGAAACTAAATCCCGCCGGTATAAATAGTTCAAACGGCGCATGGCTAGATGGCGCACATTTCTTGCACCTCGCATTTTTTGCTGTACGAGACGGTCTATTGTAAAAATACAGGTTTCGAAACGAGTCGAAATCAGTATTTAATTTTGTAACGAGTGGAGTCGGATCCCCGTTTTCAGAAACCCGATCAGATAAATTTCTTGATTTTCAAAAATTTCCGATCCGATTCATTTCTTGGATTTTCAAAAATACCCGACCCGATCCATTTTTAGATTGAAAAAAAGCGATCCGATCCAATTGGATCGGGCCACGGATTATCAAAAAAACGGAAACCCGACTCAACTCTGGTCGAGACAGAAATTTTTGTTACCTTACCAAAACAATCATGCATTCCAAAACTGGAGATGGCCGACCTGTCGATTGTCTTGTTCTTGTGCTTTCTCGAGGTAAAGATTGGCTCCATGTAGGAGTAGGGGTATGCAAAAAGGCGGTCACTTCGCTCCTGGACTGGTTCCTGGTGGAAACCGGCAGATTCCCAAACTTCGCCTTCCCACCAAAACGGAACTGGGAGTCCGATCACCCCGCTATACACGAAACTGTAGGGGATGAGGCGCCAAATAGAGTACCTGTTCAAAATAAATTAGTCTTCATTCAAAATTCATTCATCCCGATTTCTGAATTTTCAGTAATTTGTGTTCAAATTCATTTCACTTCATCGGACTTCATTTCTTACTTCGCCCCATGTATAAAGCATAGGGTGAAAAATGAAATCCCTTCTTCACCTTCATTCATCAGAAATGACGGAATCTTAAGTCATTTTCATTCCATGATAGAAAAGGAATTTCATTTTCATTCACTATCACATTCACAGTCGAATGAATGAAGGTGAACAGGTAATGCCAAATAGCTTACTCGACTTGCTTATACGTAACGTTGACTTTGACCGCCAAATGGTCATGTTCCGTCGGGTTGGACAGGTGGAAGTCGTTCCTCCCGCATTCCGCCTTGCCGACGTCAAACTTGTGATTATTTGGGAACGCTGCGAACATTTTGCCCAGCGTTGTTATCGCAAAATTCCGGTTGTGATTTGAAATGTAGTAGTCGTACAACATGTGCGTGTACGCGTACGGGATTCCACAAACTTCTAAAGGATTGAAGTACGGGCTGTGCACGTTTTCGGAGAAGCATTCAAATTCGAAGGAGAATTCGCCGACGTTGTGTTGGTGCTAGATGAAAAATCGGTAAATTTTTAATCGTTTCTCCGCTCTGGGAATTTATTTTAAAATTCTGGACGACAAATATGTAGAGCAGGTGGTTCCCAATTTTTGAAAAATATACACTCCAGATTTTGACACTTTTCGTTCCAATTTTTCTGAAGGCATTGACTTATCTTAACGATAATACGCGTTTTATAATACGAAGGAAAAGGTTAACTTTGACTTATCTACTCCGTCAAAAAGTATCAAAATCCGGAGTGTATATTTTTCAAAAATTGGGAACGACCTGCTCTATATATTTGTCGTCCAGAATTTTAAGATAAATTCCTAGAGGAGAGAATTGATTAAATTTGTGCCGATTTTTGCGAAGAGTCATACCTTTCTTAATCTTCGTTTCCCATGTAATGAGAATGCAAACCGACCTAAAGCATCCCGCTCAATGTGACAATTTCCGAAGCAATCGTAGACCGGGGTGTCTATCGCAAAATTTCCGTACGGATTTGCCAAACATTCGACAAATTCGTTGGTGTCTGTCCAACCTCTTTTCATAGTTCCGGTTGACGCGACCCCGGTTTTGGAGAAGGGCACCATGCGATAGGGGGACCACGTGACATGGGGCAATTAATTCCGCAAAGTTTAGTCTTCTCTTGTATTGATGCGGCCGGTTTGACGACTCTCTTTCCATTGGGGCAAGGCGGCTTTGGGGTGATTGTAGTCGGAGTAGAGGATGTGGTTTTGATTGTAGTCGGAGTAGAGGGTGTGGTTCTGATTGTAGTTGGAGTAGAGGGTGTGGTTCTGATTGTAGTCGGAGTAGAGGGTGTGGTTCTGATTGTAGTCGGAGTAGAGGGTGTGGTTCTGATTGTAGTCGGAGTAGAGGATGTGGTTTTGATTGTAGTCGGTGTAGTAGGGGTGGTTTTGATTGTAGTCGGAGTGGATTGTGTGGTTCTGACTGTAGTGGGGGTTGATTGTGTCGTTTTGATTGTAGTTGGAGTGGATTGTGTAGTTCTGATTGTAGTGGGGGCTTCAGTTGTCATAATAGTTGGGTTATCAGTTCTTATCGTAACGGATGTGACTGTAGTAGGCATTTTTGTAGGGGTTATTGTGGACGGTGTTTCTGACGTTGTCGGCATTATCTGACTAGTCTTCGGGATTTCAAATGTAGCGCCTGCATTTGCGTCGATATGTTTCTGAACATCTTCCGTTTTTGTGCTAAAAAATTTGAATAATTTGAATAGTATCAAGTTTATTTTTATTTAAAAAATATGGCTGCCTACTTTAGAACGGACTCTTTAACGCAGAGTTGTGTCGTGTCGTGAGGGCAAGCTAGGACGATTGGCGTCTCCACCAGGTTGACGACGTTCCATTGAATCATAATCGAAAATAGGAGCAGCGCAGTGCCCACAATCTTAAAATTGAAGACGAAATAATTTTGAAAAAGAAACCCACCAAATTTGCATATTCAGGACTTACGCTAAGGAAGAGACTCTTATTTACGAGGAACCACGAACCAGGGTTCACAATGTGCGGCCTCTTGGCGTTAAAGCTCATGTACAGACTCATTATCTAATGCAAATGATAAGCACAGTCATCATTTGCATATCTACTCACTCATATTTCCTATTATACTACTTACAAATTTGCGACCTTTTAACGAATCAGCGAGTAAAAGTCCATATCTTCGGACAGGTTCAAACCCGTGCATGACCTCGAGAGATAAATATATTTTAGGTATTTTTCCTACTTGAAAATGTAATTTTTTAGTGCAATCCTTACAGTCTCACCCACCGCGGAAATTGTCGATATCACGACAAACACGCTTATCAAAGTGGTACTCAGAAAATAAAGGGTTTCCACGATTGACTCCAGTTCCGTGGGATCATACTGTTCAGATATAAAATGTGCATTCATGTAAATGAGTAATACAATACAAACTGAATCTTAACGTAGGACTCGACGACGCCTTGTTACCAACACTGTCAAAATATTTACATTTTTAATAATTTTTCGCCTCTTTTAAAATTAATTCCCAGGGGAGGGTGAACAATGAAATGAGTGAAAAATCCTTATTTCATTCACACTCATTCATCTGAAATGACGGAATATTTCAGTCTTTTCATTCAAATGACTGAAAGAATTTCATCTTCATTCACTATCATTCACTATTATAATCAGTCAAATGAATGAAGGTGAACAGGTATGAATTTAACATAAATTCATAGAGAAATTAAATTAGCTTATTATGGCGTTAAGGCGCCAAGTCCCACGTTAAATTTTGCTCATACATACTTTCACATGAACACCAGAATTTCCAGAAATGGTTTCCGAGCCATTGACGTGCTTCAAAGTAAGATCAAAAAAGAAAGCAGTTGACGCTCGAAACATTTCACAGCTAATACAGAGCACCTTAAAAATTATAATCAAGTACTTAAGACACATAAATAATTACTGTATAATTGAAAACCGATAAAATTACCCGGGTTAAAAAATACGAGAAAAGAACGGGAGTGGAACAATTGGAGATTCCTTCGATAAGTTTGGTTATCTTGTGATGCTGCTTCAACAACGTTTTGTAGGACAAGGGCTTATCAAACGGCTTCATTGATTTCGCTCGATTTTGAGGTGCAACTGTGCATGTCAATGGAGAATATCTAATTACAAGTTATGTACATACATTTTCATATCACTATCAATACCAAAGGGGGGCAAAATGCATTGTCAAACAAAAGCTACAGTATTTTGAGCTCGGTTCTTCTCAGGGTTTAGATTTCCGGGGCTGTTACACCCAGAAAAAGACGAAAATCTACATATAAAATGCAACAGTACAGTCGTACGAAAATACAGGTCTTGTGAAGAAATTAGGTTTTTATCGCGGTCAATATGCATTGTTTTCACGATTTTCTAAAAATGAGGTATTTTGAAAGCGATTAAAGGTCAATTTCTTTAATTTTGCAAACCATGTATTTTCGCATGATTGTTGTCTTCTTTACGTAGATTGTCGTCTTTTTGTGGGTGTAACAGCCCCGGAAACTTTTTTTTCAAACTCTTGGAAGAAAAGACTCCAAAATATTGTATTTTGACCACTTTTGGGAATGAATAATATTTGTGGGCTGACCAAATGTTCTCAAACTATGACAGGATCGAACAGATAAGCTTTATCGGCACGGACGGACAGAGCTTATCGGTCCCGTCCGATCTTATTTTAAGAAAACTAGACTGACCTGTCCCCAAAAGAACAGTCGTTCTCGAGTTCCATCCGTGCGCCGTGTTTGTGATTGAGCGGCATAAAACCATGATAAGCAGGAGATGGTTTCTCGCCACGAAGTAGACGTAAATCTCAAAAAAGAGGACCACGTAGACGGCAATGTTCATCCAAAAATTGTCAAGAAACGCTTCTTTTAAGCCCCAACGAAGATAGAGAATGGTCTCAAATTTGACCGACTCTTGAAATCCGAGGTCGCTCGTGAAGAAAAGCGCGACCAGAACGATAACGTCGAGCGTGGTGATAAATAAATGGACAAATTTCATGGTTCGAGTCCCTCTGCTGGCATTTTTGTACTGGAAATCTTCCAGAGATTCGCCAAGATCGTTAATATATTTCGAAATATGATTTCCGTACAGGATGACGCTCACGTTTCCGACCAGAGCCACGAACAGAGTTAGGAGAAAGACGGTTATGTGGAGCCAATGTTTTTGGAAGAGCAACTTTTCAAAAGTTCTGCAAATTAAATAAATATATTCTTAATCAAAGCATACCTGTTCACATTCATTCATTTCAAATGAATCATTTGAGGGATTATGGTGCTGAATGATAGTGAGTGAAAATGAATTTCCTGTGATTTGAATGAAAATGACTGAAGGATTCCGACATTTCAGATGAATAAATGAAGGATTTTTCACTCATTTGATTTTTCACTCTATACTTAATACATAAGGCGAAGTAAGAAACGAAGTCAGGTGAAGTGAAATGAAATGAATTTTAAAGAAAATGACTGAATGTGAATGAAAATCTTCAGCCAGAAATCGGGATGACTAATGTTTGAATGAAAATTGAATTTTTGAACAGGTATGCACTTTGCAATAAAATCCTATTTTGAGATCACATACGCATATTGAGAAGAGCTATCCGTCGCATTCGCGTCTACTTTTGCGGACAGAATGGCAAAGACGGAAAAGCTGCTGGTGAAAAGTGCCACGCCCAAAATGCAAGTCAACAAGTACAAATCCCATTGTCCTTTCGGCGGCTTTTTCTTGCAGCGAAAGGCGTCGGTCTCCTTGTAAATGACGAACGGGAGACGGCCCAACATCGTCACGAGTGAAAGGAGACGACTGATCCCAGAAAAGTCTTGGCTCAGGCTCAAGCCTTCGTTTCCACTGGAAAATATATAAATATTTAAATAGCAGCGACATAATTTACAAATTAATCTAGGACTTGATATTCAAAACGAAATGGCCAAAATCCACACATTTTAAATCAGTTCTCAGCTCTGGGAATTTATTTTAAAATTCTGGACGACAAATTTGTAACAAGAGTTGATTAATTGAATAACGATAAGTTTTTTTTCAGCCAGTTTCGATGAGGTCCAATTTTGCTGAAGACTTCTTAAACTAGAGAATCTCAAGTTGAGATCGCCTCATTCAAAAAGTGTCAAAATTGGAGTGTACATTAAAAAATTATCAACGACTTGCTCTAGAAATTTATCGTCTAAAATTTCAACATAGGGAGACATTGGAATTGTGAAAATCAAACAAAAATTTCACAACTATAGTTTCAGATTATGTAGAAATGTATCAGTCGTAAGTGGACAATTGCGATTTCAAAAAATATTAACACAAATTTCCAGAGGCAAGAAATGATTGAAAATGTGCTGATTTCGACGATTAATCAGCGAGTCCTACGTTAATAAATTAAGGACCATGAGAATTTTGTTGATAAATAAGTAAGTACCCTTGATTTTCCTTAACTGACTCCTCCATTAAATCCAAATCACTCTCACGGTCACTCCGGAGTATCCAAGTCATATCCGGTTTTCCGCTGGACCGACTTTCACCAGAAGAATGGAATGTGGGGAAAGTGCTGATGCTGCTGCTGGACAAGTCTGATTCCAGGACGGGCTCTAATTTTTCCGAACCTTGTCCAACCTCAAGTACCGATTTAGTTGGAAATTCACTTATTTCTGGTGCAGGGACTAATTCAGGTTTTAGCAATGAATCCGCTTTCTTTTCGACTAATTTTATTGGAACCGTTTCTACTTTTGCCACCAATTTATTTGGGACGGAAGGATTTAATTCAGGAGGAGCCGCATTATTTTTCGACTTTTTAACCGGTTTCTCCTCCAGCTCTTTGTGCCCATCTAAAAAATGTGTAGAAGTGATACATAAATTTGGGGAATAAATTTCTAAACGTGGGGGCAGGGTTTCGTTTCCTATGTTTCTTGCACGGCAAAGCAAAAAATGCGAGGTGCAAGAAACTGGGAGAAAGTGCAAGAAATATGCGCCATCTATGCATGAAGTATTTATAGCGGCGTGATTTAGTTTCTTACTCCTTGCATTTCTTGCAGGTCAAACAGCTGCACGAAACCACTTTCTTGCAATTGGTCAAAGGTAAGTAGATATTTTGATATTGAATGTGTTAAAGTTAGATTGAAAACCTGTCTCCACAATTGGTGGTTGTGATACCGATTTTCGCTGTGAATGAACAAAGAATTTCTCAATGTCGTGAAGTTCTTGGGCGTCAAATTTCGGAAAATTATGCTTCGCTTCACTCTTTCTTGGCGGTTTGTTGACAGTTTCCGTCTTCGGGTTGGATACTTTCTTAGCAGACAACTTCCTAGCTGCTGCTTCTATCATAGACGACCAAAATGCAAATTAATTTAGCTTTAATTACAGCAAAATTATGTTTTATTTCCAATTACAGGTGAAACCAACCTGGATTCTCGGCTTCACTAGTTTTCACTTCTGGCCTATTGTGAGGTTTTTTTCTGAAAAATTTCTCAATATCGTGCTCTTCTTCCTCCGTTATTTCGTGATTGTGGCGACGAGCAGAAATACTGGCACGTTTTGGAGTAGAAGCAGGATTTTCTGGCGATAAGCAAATAAATTTGATATAAATAATAGAAATATGGCAAAATGG